AGGATCGGAGAAAGAAATAACAGCAATCATAATTTTTCCAAGTTGTCCGGCCCGTTTAAAAAGTGATGATTTTTGATGTATTTTTTGTAACAATCGGAGTACAAATAAAAAATTTATCACTTTAAAAAGAATAAGGTGTAAATTAATTTTTTTATTTTTGTATATTGAATATTGGTGTCATTTGAAAGCTAATAAAAAGTTATGAAATTTGATGTGATTTTTGGAACAATCAGATTACAAATGAAAAAGTTATAACATTTTAAAATAAACATGAGATTGTATATTGCTAGGATCCTAAATAATAGGAATTTAAGAAGTATTCAATTATCAATAATACGGATTATTAGTGATTCCGTGTATTACTTGTGCATAGATTCCTTTAATTTGGAAAGTAATGTTTAAACAATAATAATTGTGGAGTTGACATGTGGCAACACTTTCCCTAATTGCAACCTTGAATTGTATTATCTATAGATTATTGAAAATTGTCTAGAATGGCTTTCTTGCTTTTCCTCTTCCTTATTCAACTTCCTTTCTTAAACATTCTCACTTGAAAATAACCGTCTCTCTCCCTCAAACACCACACACCATGATCTGCAACAAAGACAAACCATGGCCAACAAAGAATCCATCCCGCCGGTGACAATCATAAATGGATGTTTTCTTCTCCTTCTCAATATGTATCCGTATTGTTGATTATTTTTATTTTTCTTCAATTCTTTTTTTAATATTCTCCATTCAAAAATTGAACGACAGGTGTTTGGGCGATAAGTCACTATTAAAAAGACAACTTTTGATAGGGTTAGGTGGAGCCGTGGAGCTCACTAATGGATTACTTTATTATGGATAGATTTGGGGTCGGAGTCACTAACTTGTTATAGGATCGGGATTGGAGTCACTAATTTTTAGTCACTAAAAAGCTTTCAGATAGAGGTAGTAATAACCAATTGAACCAAGGTAATTGAACGATGGTCACGAATAATAGATAATAATGTAGGGATACTCTTGTAATTATGAACTCTTGTATTATTATATATACATGTACACGGCCACCTCTACGGTGAGCCATTCTCTCATATTTGTCATATGGTATCAGAGCCATTCTCTCATATTTGTCATAACGAAGGGATAATAGTCATTGGACATGACCATTCTTTATGTTCGAGTTACACTAATTGATGGATGTGTGACGGTCGACGGTGTCATTGTACCAGCGGCGGAGCCACTCATGTTCAAAGGGGTTCACATGAACACCCAAAAATTTGAAAAACATGTAGCTATGGATGTGTAAATTAGGTATAATTATTTATTGCTCTTTATTTGTAGTTGTAAAAAAGCATTGAGCACCCAAAACTCAAATTCCAAATCCGCCACTGCATGGTACTCATTCGTTACACCGATGGATAGAGTCACTATCTCATTCCTCGTAAAGTCACTTTCAGAGATGATAAAAATAACAATAGAAAACTCTCAGTGAGAACAACAAAAAGTGATTATGAGACGGTTTTGAAAATGTGTAAATTTATTTATGTATTATTTCCAAAGAAAAGGTAAAATACCCAATAACAAGTCATCAACCAAGTAAGATGGGCAGGCGCAAAGGTAAGAACAAGTTAAAGTAGTAGACATATGGGGCAAAGTTAGGATTATTTAAAATAAGAGAAAATTGTCAATTTGCTCCTCGTACTATCACGAAAAAATCAATTAGGTAATCATACTTTAAAAAAATCAATCAAATCTCCAAACTTTAAAAAAACGTTCAATTGAATCAATCAGCAAGTTACTTGTCTCATGTCAGCATGTCACCCGCTGACGTGACACACGTAGAGGGTCCAGATTGACAATTTTCAGTTGAAATTACTATGAATAGTGAGATAAAATTTTGTTAGTTTTCCAAACGGAGCTCCTCGGCGCACCTCTAAAATGGCTGGGCACACCCCTTTTCTTCCGCCATTGGACACATTTGTCCTTTTCGTTTCTTAGCCATTGATTTTGCAACAGAACTCCTTCATGTATCTAATACTCCATATCTCTCCTTCACGTATCTAAATACTACGTATTCTGTATCTTGTACGGGGTATATTTGTAATGATTTTGTTGGTTTCATTTGGGTAATATTTGAATAGTAGTTTTTTCCATTCATATTTATTTTGATTTTTGAGTATCGTCTTTGTTCTATTATTATCATATAACTATCATAAACATTATTTGAGATGCTTTTAATTAGATTGGTTTTAACCACAAATCGAACTACACTTGATCAAATCAAATCAGATCAGTTAAGACTAAATCAGACTTAAACAAATCAAGTCAAATAAGATTAGAAAATTTCAATCCTATTAAAAAATTTCTTATTGATATTATAATTATAAATTGAGATATTACCTGAAATAGGACTAAAAAGGTTTGAAAATTCCAAAATAGGACTGTCATGCTTTTATTTCCAAAATAGGACTAATTACTGTCATGTTTTGGCAGTACCAGACTTCAAACATGGCAGTATTTTCCAAACTTGACAGTAATTACTCCTATTTTGGGAATAAAAAATATGTCAGTCCTATTTTGGAATTATCAAACTGTTTTAGTCCTATTTCGGGAACTTTCCCTTATAAATTAGTGTCTCATACTAATCAAATTTCTTTCAAATTAATACTACCTCTGTTCTTAAATAAATGCAACCGTCAACATATCACATTTTCTAATGCACAATTTTGACAATTAATATATTTAATTTTCTATTATTAAAATATTAAAAAATTCAGATTTTGAAATTTTACAATGTGCCAAATTTAACAATATTGTTATTTAAAAAATTAATACATTAATAAATAAAACATAGTCATAGTAGAACATGTGAGTAGTCTAAAATTCATCATGTTGCATTTATTTAAGAACATATAAAGTATGTATACTTCAAATTTCAATTGTATCTTCTTAGAAACAATCAATCTTATAACTAGACTTAGAAACAATCACCCTGAAGAGCAATACGAATCGCTAACCACCAAAAGGGTGTGACACAACCATCATTTACCATATAGATCCTTCTAACGACATAATATCTAGCTGAATTGCCAATTCTTATTGTAGTCTTAAAACTAAAGACATCAACAAAAAATAGTGCAACTCAAACAAACTTAACACGAAAGTAAGACCATAAAAAAATAAAAATAAAAAATTGACAAATATTCCAAGCTCCTTTCCTGTCAGTATTCTTGAAGTATCATCTTCCGAACCCTAGAACCTCGATCGCTCCAGTGCGGTGGTTCGAGAGGGGGGTGGAGGGCCGATATTATCAAATAGTTGGTATTATCAAAAACTATTTTCAAAGTACGTATTTTATTGGTTATTGGTGATGATTGTATTACTCCTTCCATCTCTTAAACTTTGTCAACTTTCCTTTTTTGGATGTCCCACTAACTTTGTCACTTTCCCTTTTAAGTAAAGAATTTGTGGTTTCAGTTAATTCTCTCTCCTCTGCACAAGCATCAACCACACAGTTTTTACTTTATTAATCACCGTGCCGGTCAAACTTGGCAAAGTTTTAAGGGACGAAGGTAGTATTATTTAAAGTGATTATCTCATTTTTATTTTTTTATTATTATATGATTTGAAACAAAAACATCCAACGATAGAGTAATCATTTTCTTATTATCATACATATTATATTGGACTGGAGTATTCATTTTATATAATTATTTGATTCAATGTCTCATTTTTGTTTTATAGATAGTATTTATACTACGTACATAGTATGAAACGAGGTAAGAAACTCCTCATTTCATAATCGTATACAGTGTAGTGTTTTTCCTATTATACTCCCGTGTAAGGATGTTTTTACTTGGACTGTAATTTGCTGGTCTGGTCTGGTCTGGTCTGATCTGGTCTGGTCTAGTCTGAATTGGTCTGGTCTGGTCTGGTCTGGTCTGGTCTGGTAAGGTCTGGTTTCTTTGTATTTTTATAACTATCCAAGTCTGGTCTGGTCTGGTCTGGTCTGGTCTGGACTGGTCTGGTCTGGGAAAAGTTACAGTCCAAGTAAAAACATCCTAAATATAAGGGGAATGATGCAAACTGCAATTGTCAAAGATGTGGATGCATTCTACCATAAAAAAATCAAGTAAGAACATTCAAGTCAAGGAGAGGTGCGCATAGCAATTCAGGAGGTGCACGAAGCAACCCCTTTCCAAATTATAATTGGACGGTGACTGTGTAAGGTAGCGTGCATCTTTAAGGGTGCAATTAGGCAGTATGTAGTACTCCCTCCATCCCTGAAAATACTTTCAATTTCCCCTTTTTGTTCGTCACAAAAAGAATTTCATTTTTCCTTTTTGGAAAAGAATTTGTGGTTCATAGCATTTCTATCTCTTCTGCACAACTCTGCATCACACAATTTCCACTTTCTTAATCCGCGTGCCACTTTATTTTGAAAGAAAATTGTGGGAGGTAGTACTAATTACCTATGTTTTAAAAACCGACCCGACCCGGCCGGGTTGACCCGGAACCCGGTGACCCGGACAAAAATCCGGTTCGGTTTCTTCAAAACCCGAAAATGGTCAAAAACCGGGAAAACCCGGCTGACCCGAAAAAATCCGATCCGGACCCGACCCAAGAAACCCGAAAAACCCGGGAAAACCCGGTTTTCGGTCTTTTCCAAAAAAAAAAAAGTAATTTCTTTTTTAATTTTAATGCATTTTTTAAACTAATAAAATTGCAATTTCAATTCCCTAAAAAGAAAAACTATGTAATATATTTATATATTTATTTAAGAATGAAAATCATGCCAAATTATAATATAAATGTACAATACAAATAAAAATATATAATGAGAGTGTATATAATTATATGTTTATTATTATTATATAGACGTACAATCGTTGACCGGTTTTCCGGCTTTGATCGAGTTGACCCGACGGGTCCGGGTTGACCCGTGACCCAGTCACATGACCGGGTCGCTCACCGGTCCGGTTTTTACAACATAGCTAATTACGGAGTACAAAGTACCAAGCAGAGAGGCAAGACTGCAATTAGTCATTCTGGAAAGATAACGTGGCTGACTTTGGGTTGCCTACACCTTCGGCCTTCCATCTTCGAGTCCTCCGTAGTATTAACTCATTTCACATAAAAAAAACCGGTCGTATTCCCTTTCCCGCTGATCGTCACGAGAAAACGCAGAAAGATGCAGCAGGGTGCGGACATTAACCAAAGAATTGCCCGAATTTCAGCCCATCTTTGCCCTTCTAATTCCCAGGTCGCTCTTGATTCTTTCCTTATTCAATGTCATAAACTTTTGTCCCAGTGCTTGCTTAACTTGGAATTTGCTTATTTCTGTGATTATTGCTCGATTGATTCCGTGATAAGTTTTAAGTTTCGATATGATTTACAGTTTAGCTCATCTGTTTGGTTGTGTTTATACTTTGTATGCTTAAAGATGCAGCGAAGTTCTGGTCTTGGGATGGCGAATTGCAGGGCCAAAGGGGCGTCGCCTGGATTTAGAGTTGCAATTCTGGGTGCTGCTGGAGGTATAGGTCAGCCTCTTGCCATGCTCATGAAGATGAATCCACTGGTTTCACTTCTGCATCTCTACGATGTGGTGAACACACCTGGGGTTACATCAGATATCAGCCACATGGATACCGGAGCGGTGGTAATTTTCATAGTTCGCATGTTTACAAATTTTAGTTTTAGTCCTCCTAAAGTTCTTAAGTATGGTTTTTTCTTTCAATAGATGTGAACTGTATGATTTTGTGATCTTGGTGGTAATGAGATAATAACCAGCGGAATGTCCTTAAATTGCTAATCCAATTGGGTTCATTGCATCTTCTGCTGGGTTCTCGTAAAATTACCAAATGACTCTTGATATTTCTTAAAATTATTACAAATAAGCCCTGTTGAGTAGTCCCATCTGCCTCAAACAACACTTTTATCATTGAAAAATTTAAAGACTGCAAGATGTAGAATATAGATCATGTTTACATAATTGTGCTTCTTCATATTGAATTTAATGTTTTGATTTATTTCATCTGCTACTATGTTTAACACCCTGTCTGAAAAGAATCATCCCTGACTCCCTGTCCATTATTGAGGAGGACTTACTTCGAAAAACTCAATTCCTATTAATATCATTTTATCCAATCATCTATGGGTATTGTTTGCAAAAAATCTTTCTTTTTAACACATTAATAACTTTATATGTATTTATTATTAGAAGCCACTACTATCATTTTTTAACTTGATCAATTGGATTAGCTGGTCAAGTAATTTTTAAAGTGATATAGTCTTTAAAATCTAATTCTTCTTATGTAGATTGGAATATTGATGTTAGCATGAATATGTTGAATATCCAATCAGAGTTTGGATCTAGAATTTCAGTTGACAGTTGATTACGTAAGCATGATAAAAATAAATATGCCTGACCCAAACTCTTGCAAGTTATGCTGCTAAACATGATTGATGAGCCCAATTTATTATGAACGGGGAGCTCATGTTGTGGTCTATGCACCTGAACCTGAATAATCTTTGTTTTGAATGATATTGTATAATTTTTCAAGTTACTGGCTTTCTAGGTGCGTGGATTTTTGGGGCAACAACAGTTGGAGGATGCTCTAACGGGGATGGATCTTGTAATCATTCCTGCTGGTGTTCCTAGAAAACCAGGAATGACAAGAGATGATCTTTTCAACATTAATGCTGGAATTGTTAAGACATTGTGTGAAGGAATAGCTAAGAGCTGTCCCAAAGCTATCGTCAATGTAATCAGTAACCCTGTAAACTCAACAGTCCCTATTGCAGCTGAGGTCTTTAAAAAGGCTGGCACTTATGATCCCAAAAGGCTTTTGGGAGTGACAAAGCTTGATGTAGTGAGAGCTAATACCTTTGTGGTATATAACTAACTCATTCTTCCCGTAGTTGTATTTCCTTTTTGGTCATTTGAAATGGTATTGCTACCAGCTCCATAAAAATACTCCTGTTGTCCCTTAACAAACTTTACTTGTGCTTTTGCATGTGTACATTAAGACAGTGAAGATTGTATGACTGAGATCTATTTAGAAATCAAACAAAAAATCAACCAAGTTCACATTCCTTTCTTTTCCTTAATAAGAAAGGAAAAAAGTGAAGTTATTTATTATGGGATGGAAAGGATTAAGGCTATCTTTGGTAGAGGGAGAAGAAATAAAGAAAAAGGAAGTAGGTAGGTCAGAATACAAAAAAAAAAAAACGAAATGGGTGAAAAATAGAGAGAAATAAAAGCTGTAGAAATGTAATGGAAATAGAGAGGAGGTAATATTTGAACGGAAGTGGTTGGTTGGTTTAGAAGCACATTATTACCCTCACACAATCTGTACATTACCAGAAGTAACCAGGGTGAAAAGGTAATTTAAAAGTGTTTCTCTTTATTTCATTTTAGTGAGGAAATGAAAAGAAAAGTATTATATCCATACATTTACATTACAGTAATACATTTCTTTGCTAATTTGCTCCTACAAAACCATGGAAACGGATTAAACTTTACGTATTCCCTTCCACCCTATTTTTCTCTCCCAAACACAAGCTATGTGATTTTTTGTAGAAATACCAGCAAAACATGTGGATGACATATAATGCTTGGATTTCTGCGAGACTGGCAATGTTTTTTACTGATCACATTCAATGTAAATTTGTATTATATCTTTGTGTTTTAAGGCTGAGGTTTTGGGGCTTGATCCAAGGGAAGTGGAGGTTCCAGTTGTAGGGGGTCATGCAGGAGTTACAATCTTACCTCTTTTGTCTCAGGTTTGAGAACTTATTTGCAAAATTGGGCACCTTATACTTTAATGTAATGCTCTGTATGTCTAAACTATTGAACTTTTTTTCACTGGTCAGGTTAAACCTCCATGCTCCTTGACCCCTGAGGAAATTGAGTTTCTGACTTCACGTATTCAGAATGGAGGCACTGAAGTTGTTGAGGTATTCTGAACTCCAACACTTGTGTTTCCCTGTTTTATTTTTAGTATTCAATAGATGATCTTGTAATGGACATGACTAGACATTTAGATAAGCTATCTCAACTGAATGCTAATTTGGAAAATGCTTCCATAGGGCATGCTTGTCACTCTATGCTTTATGTTTCCTTCCTCTTTTTTATAGCTAAGCACCAGAATAACAAAATCACTAGAAGTGGTTTCACTTTTTTGTTGGTAGTTGTTGAATCATAAACTAGTACTTTTATTGATATTACTTTTAACTCATAAGTTCATAATCTCTATAGAAATACAATGATTAGATAAAAAATAATGGACCTAAACCCATTAGGAATAGAACCCCTAAACGTAATGAGAATTATAATTCCATAGTACTTCTAACACTGTGATTACTATATTTCTATAGTTATACTTTCTATACATCAATGCTAGTTTCCAAAATTAGCATAATTACTATAATTTGACTACTTCTTATTTCAGTACAACATGTGAAGTATATAATATAATACAATACACTCCATTTTATATGTGTCCCCAGTTTTATTTATCTGCTATTCCAAATTTATGATATCATTTCCTAGTCTGGAAATGGTCCACTCAATGTAATATTTCTTTCACCACTTTAGCCATTCTTTTTCCATTTTTCTCTTTTCCTTACCCACCCAAGCTTTGTGCCAGAATTATGGGAATACTATTATTGATGGAGGGAGTATCTTTAGAATCGTAAAATCAAACATCACAGCAGTACATAACCAGCCTTTAGTTGATGACTTGATGTTATGCCTTTGTTGAAGTACTTTCTTTGGTTCTCGTACAGACCAAAGTTGGAATGTACTTGTTATGTAGTCGATAATTTTTGGACGAACATGATTTTCTCTTTCTTTTATACCCAGGCAAAAGCTGGTGCAGGATCTGCAACACTGTCCATGGTTAGCAATTTGTTTGCTCTCTGTTTCACTTCTTTTTCTAAAGAGTGCTGAGTTGCACTGGATAGCACTTTGATCTAATATACCAATGGCAGGCATATGCTGCTGTTAAATTTGCAGATGCATGCTTACGAGGGTTGAGAGGAGATGCTGGAGTTGTTGAATGTGCCTTTGTGTCGTCTCAGGTATATATATGACCTTAACCATCTTTGCTTAAAACATTAATAGAATTTTCATGATCATCATATTTTAGTCTATCAAAAAATCTTGTGTGACGGTCTTTGGGAAGTTCAGTACGCAACATCTTTCACTGTTCACTTAAGGTTATCTATTTTGAAAAACTGACTCCCTCTACCCCCCATAAAGTCTGTTTAGTGAGGAACAGTTTTTTGTTTTTAATAAAGTCAATCTAGATCGTAGATACAAGCTCTTACAAATTATGAACCTTTAGATGGAATGTCCAAAATTTTCAAGTGAGAACATTTATGTGGGACAAAGGGACTACTTTTTAAAAGCAATCAGCTGAAAACTTTTTTAAGCTATTGCAGACACACTAACTTTCACACAGAAGTGCTTTTGTTTAAACATCATGGTGCCAGGACTGGTTTAGTCATCTCTTTTTTTTCACTATTTACAGCACTGCTTATCCATAAGGTGATCTACTCGTTTTAGGTGACAGATCTTCCTTTCTTTGCATCAAAAGTTCGCCTCAGCCGCAATGGAGTTGAAGAGATTTACTCACTCGGTCCCTTGAATGAATATGAAAGGTCCAATGCTAACTATTGTAATATGCCTTTTTCTTTGTTCAATTCTGATTAGATCATAAGATGTTCATGTAGCTTCTCATCTTAATAGGGCTGGGCTGGAAAAGGCAAAAAAAGAGCTAGCTGCAAGTATTCAAAAGGGCATACTTTTTCTACAAAAGTGAATCGGGACAACAAAGCCTGATCTTTACGACCATCAGAAAAAGCCATTGTATATCCTTGTAATAATACCAGAACAATGTATGCGAGCTACCACACAAGAGTGGAGTTTAGAACTTAGTGGTGGTAGCCGGCGAGGCTTATCTTCGAGTGGCCCATAGGGCTTCTAGCCGAAGCGACATCTTGGAACCCCGATAATCTATGAAAGAAAATGTGGAAAAGCAAAAGCATGGTTAAAGAAAATGTGGAAAGTAATAAAGTTCAAGGAAACATGTTAACATAGTCCAATAAATTAATCAATTCCAAACATTTTCTGGGTATTTGTTCCTGTTATAAACTAAAGAATATAAATGCATGTGGAACCTGAAAGGGAGAATCAAATCCGACTTTCTAGGGCGGGTGACTGACTGAGAACATAAAAGCTGTGCAAGTGTGCAACTAGTAAGGAAAAATGAAAACAAAAAAAAAATGTGCCTCTTTAAAAAAACGTTGCCTCTCCTTGAAAAATAACGACACAGTTCAATGCTCCGTAACATTTTAGCATATGATTTCTATAAAAATAATCCGCTACATTTGTTGCAGTTTCGTGCATGTGTCGGTTTGACTTAGGTATACTCATCTGTTTAAATTGATTTTTTTTTTAATTTTCTTATAAAATTCAGGAGTGCGAAAAATAGACATAACCTAATATAGGTATTCATGGACCGGGTCTGGTCCGGGCCCGGGTCGGGCCTAGGCCCGGCCGGGCCCAAAAAATTTTAGTGAAGCCCGGGACTGGCCCGGATGTTCACCGGTGCCAGTCCGGTTCTATTTTTTTTGTTTTCTTGATTATTTAATCCCCTACCCCCCATCCCCCAAACCCATCGGAAACACCCAGCCCGGCCCATTTAAACCCAGCCCAAACCAAAAAAAATAAAAAAAAATAAAAAAAAAGGTCAGAACCGGGCCTGGCTGGGCCGGTTCACATTTAAGCAATCCCAGAACTGGCCCCGGTTTCATCCATCAACCGGGCCTAGACCTGGAATCGGTACTCGGTTCCCGGGCCGGGCCCAAATAGTGCTGGGCCGGTTCCCAGGTCGGGTGGCCCACACCGAGTCCACCACTAAATATAGGACTTGATCATAATATTGAATTAATAAATGTTGTTCACGATTTCTATTATGATGCCTTGATGTATTAAACAATCAATAATGATATTTTAATTGAACTGGTTTAGATTTTAATATACACATTTAAACACTATATATACTAGACTTAGAGCATCTCCCACAGTCCCACGGCTAGCTAATTGCCCTTATGGTATGACTAGCCATATAAACATTTGCACCAAAATGAAAATGTACTTCAATTGCTAGCTATAAGCCTATATATTCTTCCTCTTCATTTATTATTTATAATGTATTGAATAATTCTCCTTACTCAAGTTAGTAGTTCATTTTGACTAATTAACTTTCTAAAGTAAAAGGAAAGAAAATGCTCCAAATTGCAAGCATGTCTTCCACATTAACTGTTGGAGATGCTCTTAAACATCTTAAATTAAGAGCTTGTTTGGTAATTTTTTTTCAATTTATCATTCTTATCAGCAAACGTTTTTATCAAACTAGGCTTGGGATCGGTTCGGTTCTTGTTAAAATCCGACGGAACTGTATTAAAAGTTGTAGGCGTCAAATTTGGTCCGATTCTAGTTAAAAATGTAGTTGTTTGATTCGGTTCGGTTATATTTAAATTCAGTTCGGTTCTTACCTTTTTTCGGTTCCTCAAAAGAAAATTATCCTCCTAAAATGAACACATTTTACCTTAAGTTACATAAAAAAAAAATCGAATCATGAAATTATGACTATTACATTATACATATACCATATCCCAATGTTCTAATATCAAAAAATATCCAAATGTATACATCAAATTTAAACATAACATAACTCAAAAAAAAATAAACATAACAAAAACATAAAGGTTTAAAATAGGCATCAACTGTCAAACAAAAAGGTTTAATAGCTTCAAGTACGTTACACATCCAAAACCAGGTAGTTCAATCCCAAAATAATATTCTTTTACTAGTAATGTCCCATAAGTAAAAAGTGTGTGGTAATAAACTGATCGATAATATTAGTAATTTACTATGAACAAATAACAACGTAATCAACAGAATATTAATTCTTTTTTAGGTGACTTCAAATGACAAATACAATTTCAAACAATTAATATAAAATGGACTAAAGTAGTAAAATAACAACAACTCGGATTGGCCTGGTCCACAATATATAAGGTATATTGTGCAAGAAAATTATTCCTGACAAGATTTTTTTGCCCACAACGGCTTCTGACCACCTCCATTTGAGGTGCTTTCGAGTAGAATTTTTTTATGAAATTATGTGAGCATGTTCTACATGAAGTGCATATTATATCCACCAAATTTAATATTAAAATTCAACTGGGAAGTGAGTTAAAAAAATATTGAAAAACATTGCATTTTTTATACTTCCTTCGTATTTCAAAGTTCTCTACATTAGGTTTGGGCACAACATTTAAGGGGGAAATAATAGGGGTAATGAATAGTGTAGAAAAAGTAGGAGAGAAGGTGGAAAAATATGAAAGAGAAGATAAAATGTAGAAAAAGTAAGGGTAATTGAGTATTTTTAAATGAAGAAACTTACCAAAAAGGGAAAGTGTAGCAAACTTTAAAATACGGAGGGAGTATATACTTTCACATAGTGTTTTTCAATAATTTATTTAACTAACTTTCCGATTGAATTTCAAGCTCAAATTTGGTGGCATAATCTATATTCCATGAAAAACAAGCTCACAAAATTTTATCAAAAATTCGACTCAGAAGCACCTCAAATTAATTAAATTACTCATGCAATGTATAAGAAGTTCAGTTCCTGTCCAGGAACCGGAACTGAACCGATCGAATACTATAGGAACCGAACCAAAAAAAACTGAAGTCCAAAATTATAGGAACCGAACCGGAAAATTCGGTTCGGTTCGAGTCGGTTTTCCCGGTTTTACGGTTCCATTTCCCAGGCCTATATCAAACATATAAATTTTAATGTTGAAGTTACTTTTTTTGGATGAATATAACAATTTTTCATGTATTTTTTAATTTGATAAATAAAATATATTTTAAATATAATTTTCTGTGGATTTAACACGTCCAGTCACTTTAGCCTGTATTTTGATATCTTTAAATAAACCATGAAATTATGTTCAATTAAAAACATTCGAAGTATAACCTACAATTATACTACAAATAATATAAACAAGTTTACATTATTAGTACATTGGAAATTAAAATAAATAAAAGTACTGGTAGGGACGAACTATACGGTAACTAGCCAGTCTCATGACATAACAAAAATGTATGCAACATAGGCATAAACTCGGGGGCGGGCTGATATTGGTTCCAGTTTGGGCTACCCGATTAGGTCTCGGTCCGGGCTCGGATCGGACCTGTTTTTTAAAGGGAAAAAACATTTTTTTGAATTATTAGCCGTTAGCCGTTAGGCTCGAACCGGGCCCGGCCGGGCTGGTCAGGTCCACCAAAATGCATGCCCGAGGCCCTTATCGTAACTCCGCTGGTCCCGGTACCTGGTTGGTACCGGTCCCAGTCAACCGGGCTCGGGCCGGTACAAACGGTATCGGGCCCGGGTCGGCCCGGCCCAGTCCAGTCCATCCCTATTCCAGCATAAACCCGTTCAGCAATGGTTCTGGTGCAGTTCTATTATATTTTGTATTTTAGGAGAATAATCATTCTTGCCTTTGTATTGATACACGGTCAAAGTATATATACAAGAGAGTATGGCAACCCTACGTAACTATATGGCCGCAGCCCATAACTTACATGCAAAGCCAAATACAGTAATTAAATACATTAGTTAAGCCCAAAACTGGCTATGTGTCCAACAAGTTCTCATTTCTAAGTAACGTTCTGGGCTTAGAGATTTTACCAGCTCAATTCCCGTTCAACCTGGAATCGGGTCAATTTCTTCTTCGTTAGATTTCGTACGGATCAGTTCCTGTCGAATTATAGGACTACTATAATTCGTATGAATCTATGATTGTTGTCGTTGGACCAGTTTTTAGCCTTCTGTAGACTGGTTTTTAGACTGGAATCCAACACCAGAAAGCTTGTGGAATGTCGCGAATAAGTAATCCAGGATTTCTTGTTTCATGGGCTCACCAGAAAACCTCGGAAAGCAGCTCATCAAACTGAATTGCCTCCTTGCTGACTTCGCTAGGTCCCGCCAATTCTACAGTGCTCTCGACCTCTTCCACCATATCCACTCCTCCCACCACCTCAGACCCGACCATTACACTCTCTCCACCGCCCTCACTGCCTGTGCAAACAGCCAAGACACCGTCTTGGGCTCTCAAATCCACGCCTTTGGCTTTCGATCCGGGCTAAGAATTTTTTCCCATGTTTCGAATGCTCTACTCTCCTTCTATGCCAAGACCCAATATTTGTGTTGTGTTAAAAGGCTTTTCGGAGAAATTGGGTATCCGGATGCTTATTCGTGGACTACTTTGCTGTCTGCCTGCACGAAACTTGGCGAACTGGAGTATGCAGTCCAGGTCTTTGATCAGATGCCGCATAGAGACGTTGCTGTGTGGAATGCCGTTATTACAGGTTGTGCAGAAAGCGGCTATGACGAGCTTGCGTTCAATTTGTTCAAAAAAATGCACTCTTTGGGCGTTTCACACGATAATTACACTTTTGCCAGTGTCTTGAGTCTTTGCTCTTTGGAGCTATGGAGGTTTGGCGGGCAAATTCATTCAATGGTGGTCAAGACTGGGTTTTTTGTTAGAACCTCTGTTATCAACGCTTTGCTGACAATGTATTATAACTTCAAATCTGTTTCAGATGCGTTCAGAGTTTTTGAAGACGCAGAGGACGGAGTTGTGGATCAAATAACTTACAATGCAATGATTGCCGGGCTAGTAAGCCTGGAAAGAAATGAGGATGCTCTGGTGATGTTCAAGCATATGCAAGACATCCATCTGATGCCAACCGGGTTGACTTTTGTCAGTTTAATGGGTTCATGTTCTGATGCAAGAATTGCAGCTCAAATTCATTCACTCGTAGTAAAACACGGTTTTCAAGATTGCACTTCTGTCGGTAATGCTGCCATAACAATGTATTCCAATTGTAATGACTTTAAATCCATTCTTTTAGTGTTTGAAAGAATAAAGGAGAGGGATGTTGTGTCGTGGAATTCCATCATAACAAACTATGCTCAACAAGAGGACATGTTTGGAGAAGCAATCTTGGCATACCTTGCAATGCAGAGAGAACAGGTTTCTCCTGATCAATTCACTTTAGGAAGCTTGTTATCAAATTCACAGTCAGTAATTGATGTCGAGATAATTCTATCCATCGCAATTAAGAGTGGGCTTATCTTGAAAATTGAAGTTTCAAATTCATTAATTTCTTCCCTTTCTATGTTTGGGGAAATAGAGCGGGCCTACAGGTTTTTCCGCGACGACATGCTGTCAAGAAACTTGGTCACATGGAATGCAATTATTTCTGGTTGTCAATCGAATGGATTACCTGTGCAGGGTTTAAACCTCTTTAGTGAGCTTCTGGGGATAGGTTTAAGGCCCAATGCTTCCACTCTCAGCATAGTCTTGAGTTTATGTGCAACTATTCCTTCTCTCCCGCACGGAAAACAGATTCATGGATATATTCTTAAATTTGGGTTATTTTATGAATATTCTTCTTTGGGAAACACTCTAATTGCTCTCTACTCGAAGTGTGGGGTTTTGCATTGGTCCATGAGGGTGTTCCAGATTATGACTGTAGGGTATTGTTCTGTTTACCTTATTTCTTGTGTTTATTACTCCTTCTGTCCCGAATGAATCTTCATCACCATCATTCATGCGGTCAGCTGAATTTCATATTAATATACGAAGCACGTAGTATGATTTCATATACTACCTCCCTCCCCAAAACAACTTCCCACTTTCCTTATTTGGATGTCCCAAAATAAACTTCACCTTTCCTTGAAAAGTAACTTTTTGATTCAAAATATCAAAACTACCCTTAATTTTTACTTGATTTAACATAAAATAGGGGTATCATTGGAAAGTCAAAGTGAGATGTTGTTTCCG